TTTTTGGTTTTATTTTTTTATATTTTTTTCATGCTTTATTTTTTTATATTTGTTTTTTGTTTCCTTTTATTTTTTTTGTTGGCTTACCATATAATATAGTCACACATTTTAGTATTTAAATATTTTATTATTTAGTTAAGTTTTTATATATGCTGGAATGAAAATGTCATTACAGTTTTCTTCAGGCGACTCACAAAAGTTGGTTTATCAATCATATTTATTTTGAATCTATCCCAGAATTTAATGAATTCCCTATGAACTGACTTCCCGGCCTGCTCGGACCATAATCCTAAACCATCGTTATTCAAGAATGAAATATATTGCTTTAAATGTTTAAGGATATAATGGATTTTGACAGTTTGAGAAATTCCAGTACTTTTCAAAGCTGTGCGGAGTTCGTTAAAATTTTTATCAAAATTTCTAAGATCCGCTTGTTTTGCGGAAAACCATGTATTCACGATTTTGCTCATGGCGTTGAACGAGAACGAGAACTGAGAGTTTCTTCCATACAAACTATGTTCGACATTTTTTTGTATGTGGAAGACACTGTCAGCAAAAAATAAATAATTGCAAAAAATCAACGAAACTTTCTGGTAACTTCAGACTTGCACTTTACTAATTGGCTCAAAAGCTACATTTTAAACATCGTCAGATGAAAGTGTCTCCGGGCCAATAATTTTGTACGGCACGGTACTTATAAGTAATCTAGGTTTCACGAAAAAAAAATTAATACAGGGTAATATTAAAATATCAGTCATTTGTTTCGTTGCTGTGAGCTTGTTTCAAAACTTCTGGCTTTTGCTATAATTGTAAAACTCTGTGCATGTCATTTTAACGTATTTAGGTACATACTTATATTAATAATCAACTATTGCTTATGCAAAACGTGCTACATTTAAAAAAAAAATCGCATATGAAAGAGCACCAACCCAACTCGTAATAATTTAAGTATACAAATTTTAGTATTTAGTATAGAAATATTCAATTGAAATACGCCAATATTAAAATGAAGCGCTTTGCACTTAACGGATGCTTTTTCATAATTAAGTTAAAAAAAAAAATTTATTTAAATTCCATGCTGTCTGTAATGGGATTTGAACCCTGACGCTCTGGAAATTAGCAAATTGTGGCAAGCATCTTCGTGCACTCAGCTACAGCCAGACATGTAAATGTGCATTCAAATGTTCAGTATGATTCAACACCACGTGTGCGTGGTATGAAAGTATTGTATTTAAGTACGAACATTTCAAAACGATAATCAAATAAAAAATATTCATGTTTACTATGCGTTATTTCCCCCAGTAAATTCATAAAATTTTTCTTAATATTACAACGCGTTTTTTCTCTCAGCGTAGTCATTTTTAAGCACAATTTGTGCAATCAAATCGAAAACCGGGACACTTAAATGAAACCCGGGACATTTTAAGGTTGGACCGGGACACCGGGACAAGTAGTCTAAAGCCGGGACATGTCCGGGAAAACCGGGACGTCTGGCAGCCCTACACACAAAGCGCATACTTTCATGCGATTTTCTTTATGATCGCATTTGTGTTCTGGATGTACAATAGTCATTATTTCCTGACAGAAGAGTACATAAATACCAAAATAAATCTCATACAAGCTTTGAATTTATTTACTTATTATGAGGAGTATCGTTGGCCTAAGTTAGAGCATTTTTATTTCTTGCACAAGCGCAGTGCGACTTGCCTGCGCTACTTGCTTATAGCAACAAACCTTTAATAAAAAATTACTACCGTATTATATAGCATACAATATTGTATACATACATATATATATTGCGATATTGAAAGTGTTTGTAATGAGAAAGTTCACGCTACAGAAAAAGGTAATTGTGGTGTTTTATCTAAGTTGTATACCGGTAGCGCCCAATAAATCTCGATCAATTATTCTTTCGGTAGGAAAAAATGAAAATGTTTCACATTGATTTGATCCGTTTTAGTCAGTTAAAAAAGGGGAACAGATTTGTATGAGATTTCTTTTCGTATAAATATGCTCTAATTATCGAGAAGTACGCCTTCGTCTTTTGCAAATATATCCTATCAGAAGTATATAAAATGTGGATATCTTTAAAACAGGAGCAGCTAGGATTTCAACTTAAGCGGATTCTTAACCTTAAGATATCAACAAATAAAACCCTGCTTTCAGATTTTGTCGACATTTTTATGCAACCTATCTTCGCTTCCTGCCCACCGTGTGCTGTAGCGAAAAATGAAGCCAAATCCCTTTCAAGGACATCGCCAACTTTGCTACCAAAATGCGTTTAGCATAATTCATATTGCACGACGAAGTCAGCACACAGTGGTTCAAAGTTGGAATTCAATGTTCACAATCCGCCGGAGCCTTCATTTTTCAACCAATTTTTACTAAAAACCTAAAAAAAAAATATTTATTTTGGTGAACATTTTTTTATAATATTTCACAATTTTTTTTGCGTATTTTTTTGTTTTGGGAAAACCATACAATTGTTTTCAACAAGTTTTTATTATGTAACATTTATTAACATACATTTTCTTCCAAATTGCTACTTTTTCTGCATTTTGCCCTGAAAAATTTAGTATAATCAAATTAAAATTCAGAAATCAGGCTCAACTGGTCTCTTGCAAATATTGTAAAATAAAAAAAATAAAAGTTAATCAAATTAAGTGAAAAATTAGGTGAATGAATGCCAGTTTTGGAATTGGAATTGGAAACTCAGAGTGCAACACGATCCTGGGCACAACTTTTCCTGCATTTTATAGATTGTACAAAGATTACCAATTAAATAGAAACCCTTATGTGGGGTGCGAAACAAACTGGCGAAAGTTTTCATTATATTTTATAAGGGACATTTTTGTTTTTCATATTCTACGTTTAAAAATTTACCTCTGAAAATGCAGAGCCGAATTAAAGGACAGTTTAAGAAATAAAGGACAAAAAGCGTACTTTATTTTGAAAAAAATATAAAGGACAGGGGGTTAAAATAACGCACTAACGTTTGAAATAAAGGACGGATGGTCACCGTAATTATACACCTTGTATATGCCCATGATTCAATAACTAAAGGTTTGCTTATTAGTGACATTAGAGTTTTGACACTTTTTTAGCTTCCTGACAAAAGCTTTGACACACACACGAACCCACACGCAATGCCTTGCTAAGGGAGCCGATTTTGTCAAGATGGAGCGAGAAAACAGTTTTTTGAGCAAACCTTTTATTATTGAATCATGGTGTATGCCCCAGTATTCTGTAATTGTCGTATTTATGGTTGTTGTAGATAATGTAGTAGCATGCTGTTAGAAATTTTTACAAAAGGTATCTACCTAAACACTAAAAATACAGAACTCTGAGGTATATGCAACAAACCTCGAATAACCCTATTATAAGATTTGTATGTGTACTGCACCATATTTACATATCTATACATACATACATACAGATTATACTGTGCAAAAGTCAATTTTACACACGAAAAAATCAACATATTCACAAAACTGGGGGACAAATATAGTAAAACTGCGTTTTTAGTTTTTCTCTCTGATGTCAGGATTTTTTTTAAAGAATTTTGAAATTTGATGTTGATAGTTACAAAATACATAAATGAAGATACTGGAATCATTCTTATGGAACCATGTACGCGCTCTAAAAGAACAAACTGACAGTATGATGTGCGGTTCAAATACTTCAATTGTTTTGTATACAAGGTGGTGGTCAGCCTTTCACCTAGGGGGCAGGAGGTTATATAGAGGGAGTTTTTTATTGTTTTGTGTATATAAATAGAAATTTTTGGGTTTAATGAAGTATAAGTTTTCTGGTATCCTTTACAACGATACCAGTTTTTAAAAATCGGTTTGTAATTTTTTTGTTTAAAATATTAAAAAAAAGTATTTTTTGCTTTTAAGTGTTTTTCTCAAATTTTTATATCCGAAGTATAAAAATATGTATACCAGAAGAAAGGGGGTTTAATCGATCTACAACGATACCAAATTTTTAAAAGCCGGAAAGTAATTTTTTTGTTAAATTTTTTTTTTCTATACAAAAATGTTTTATTTTTTAATTGTTTTTACTAAAATTTTTATATACGAAGTGTACAAATACGCATATCAAAAGAAAGAAAGTTTGATTGCGTTTACAACGATATAAATTTTTTAAAAATCGGCTAGTAGTTACTTTTTTTGTTTAAAATATTTTTTTTATAACAAAATGTTTTTTTTGCTTTTAAATGTTTTTCCTCAAATTTTTACATACACATGAAGTATACACATTTGCATATCAGAAGAAAGCGGGTTACGTTTACAACGATACCAAGCTATTAAAAATCAGTTCAAAATATTTTGAAATATAATGTTTTGAAATTTTCGAAGACCTTTTACCCCTTACAGCACCTGTAATACAAGTTTGCACAAAAAAAGTTATATACCGTTTAGATGAGAGCAAAAGGTGGTCTACGTTAAAGTTTTTAGTTTTTTAGTTATTTACATATAATAATAAAAAATAATTTTTTACCAAAGGTGCTATTTCGAACTTCGAAGGTCAATATCTCGATTTCGGATGCTAACCTCGAAAAACGGGGAAGTTACTTTTTTACCTATGACTCAATTTCTTAAAAAAAATTGGTTTGGTCCAATACCCAGCCGAGTGCTGTACAGTGTAATGATTCCAATATCTTCATCAAAATCTTATAAAGCGAAGTGTAAAATTTTTGTATCTATCTGTGTTTACATGTTAGTCCTCCCTGTTTCTTTCAAAAATAAATATTTGAAATTTCAAGGATATTCAGGGATAAAGTTTTAAAAGGACATTTTCAACACTTATTCGTCCTTGGAGCTAAATTTGTTAAAGCATACAAATTGTGAAAAATTCTGATCTTTGGGACCCTAAAGGAGAGTCCCTCAAAAGTACAACAAAATCGAAAATGGGCGGCGACGATTTTTTTTGTTTCCAGACGATTTCATATGGAATGACTAAAACAGTTAGGTTCTTTTATCTTGTACCTTGGTATTTTATTAACAACATTAACAAAAATAATTGGTCAAACTTAACAAATCAGTCGTCCTATATATCAAATTAGTAAACTCGCAAATAAATCAACAACTGTTTCTAAACCTAAATACGGATGATGGAAGATGGCAAGTAAGCATTGCGGGGAGCGTGCACTTCGGGAGCCCGAACTGGAGCTTGGGAAGCAAAGTTGTGCACAGGGGCGACACCTCCATCGTGCGCTTGGGAATTTCCACCCAATTGATCGTATTGTGATTGGATAGCTTGCTGAGCGTTGGCGGCATCTTCAGGAGTGCGGTATTTGACGAAGTGCACCTCGGGCCTGTGGCTGCTCTGACTTTGGATCGCATTGAGTTTGTTAGCCAAATCTGAAATGTCGCTCTGTTTTTGCAAAACATAGATAGCGGTTTGGTCCTCGCCAGCGTGCTTGGCCAATTGCAGGGCAGCATTTTCAAGACCTTGGTTTTCAGGTCCTTTAATGAAAACCACACGCAGATTCTTCTTTAAAGAGTGGGCAACCTGTTGGGCTCCATCTGCATCATCAAATTCCTGTTCGGGAGCAGTATATGTGAAGTATTCTTTGTTGAATTCGGCAGGTGCTGAGTACGATGGTCCCACGTTTCCAGAACCACCTGGAGCACCAATTCCGCCTAAGTCCCCTGAACCTCCATGACCACCTTCCAAGCCACCAAGACCACTAAGGCCACCTAGGCTTCCACTGCTGCCTAAACCACTAGGACCTCCACTTCCACTACTGCCTAGTCCACTATCACCGCCGAGACTTCCGAGTCCTCCAAGACTTCCAATGCCGTCAGAACTGCCGGGTGTGAAGGAGAGTCCAGAGACAGAATGCCCAACTGGTCGGTAGTTATAACCTAGTTTATCGGCATAGGAAACAGCAGCCAAACACAATACCTGCAAACAAAAAAATTAAGACAATAAATCAGGCACAAATCCTCGCGATGAAATTTTATTTAAAATTAACACTTTAACTGCTTACAAAGAACGCACGCATCTTGCTAAGGTTTTAGAAGTAGTTTTGCTTTAGAATATAATTGATTTCTGAATCTGTTAAATTTAAGCGCTTGTATTATATAGTGGGCCGCTATCATTTCGTGCTTCTTTGAAGCATCAATTGAGTACCTTAACGCCACTTCTGCTATCAATGAGCGCAAACACCTATACATATTGAATAGAGAAAAACCTTGTAGATGAGTGGAAACAAAAAGGCAGAAATACTCGTATCATTAAAACATATTAGCCAATTTAAAGAATGCGTATATGTATTTCGTAATTTTTAATAGGGTCATCGCATCTGCACGTTTTATACCTGTTGTGTTTTCTTTAAATTATGAAATCATGTATGCAAATGCCAAGCTGAATCGATGATCGCCCAACGCAGTCTTCTACTTAACACGCCGAACGCCGCGTCATGCCACTAGCACAAAATATGCAGCATTCTTTCTGAGAGGAAAGATCTAATAAACTGTATCATTATCACATCGCTATAATCGCCATCGTCTCAATGACGGCGGCATTTTAATCGGTGCTGCGGGTGGCTAATTCAAAGTTCATATGAAAAGCCGTTAGATACTCAGTGCAAATATTTGGCGGAATATCGCTTGATATGAGCAAATATAAAGTTAATGACCATACAATCAAATGCTAATGACTAACTTCCAAAACGTACCAATACAATGCTTGGATACCGTTCTACTGCGGTATTTTAAATGTTCGTATATGCAGAGTTGCGAAACATTGCAACCAGTGCACGGACTTTACCACTTTATTGGTAGATCTACCAACTTTTTAGCTGTTTTTTATTTTCTACCATTTCTACCAACAAAGGCTAAAAATCTACCAATATTTTCTATAAAGAAAGCAAAGATATTTAGATGAACACAGTGTATACATATTTTATCATGGAACATACCTAAAATAAACATGAGGAGTTAATTTTGACCATATCCAACTGTTTATGAAATATTTTTCCAAAGGAATGGTGTGCAAACTTAAATCATTTCAAAACTAATTTTAATCAAAAAATTTTGAAGGGCAGAGTAATTGTTTGCTTTATTGTAAAACAGGGCCAGAATCAAGGCATCCGGGATCGAATCAAATTCGAATCGGAATTTTCTTTACAGCTTTTGGTAGCGAATTCGCTTTTTAAGTTCAATATGTATTTGAGAGAAAACAGCTGTCATTTTGTTTCATTCGATTCGAATCGTGTTTCATTCGATCACGGATGCCATGATTTGGTCCCACTTTTATGTACTACATATTTATACCTTTTTTGTTGAATGTTTTATTGTTTTATAAAGAAATGCAATTTATTCCAAGACGAATTCATATAATAAGGTGATAGCAAAAGTTCAAAAACAAAAATTCCACTAACAAATTTTACCCATAATGACAATAAGAATTACAAATGCATCATTTTGACATTAAAAATCCCCAAGGCGAAAATTCAGCTGCTTCGGTAACACCATCTTACCTAAATTAGCTTTCATTTATCCTAAATGAGTAAAAACTATATAATAATGTTTCTTTTAAAAAAATCTACCAACTTCTACCAATTTTTGTATGCAAAATCTACCAATATTATTTTTTTCGAAGTCCGTGCACTGATTGGAACCACATACATTGCATATTTTGAATATTCAATATAACAATGAATAAACTTACGTAATTTTCCATTTTCATGACACCAAACGCAATTAAAAACAAACGAAGTATCAACTTGTTGTTTGATGCATTTCCATAGCTTTTCGGATCAACATTTTGTAGTTCGACGTTATGGAACATTCTACTTTGTATGTATGCAATGCAGTTGCAAAGAATGAGAGATATATTGTTAGACAGCTAAATGAGGTTAATTTAAAAAATGTATGAATTGTTAACATTTTAATTTTCAAATAAGGGTACGTCAGATATTTATTTCACTTTTTTAATACACTCTGGATAAATCAAGATATTGCCAAATTCCACTTTTTTAATACAGTACCTGAGAATTCTATAAAAAAAATACGTTTGAAACAAATTTAAAAATTTTAATTTTCGTAAACATAACAGTTAGTAGGTACTCTGTTCACTGCTATACAGATCGTTGCATAACAGAAATCCCGCCTCACCAATCAAATGTAAATGCATACATGGGCCTCGCTACCTAGGGACAGGTAACCTTTGAAGTTTACCTTCTAGGTAAAAAAATTAAAATTTTTTATAATTTACGAATGTGAATAGGTTTAAAAATTCATTGTTCTCGAGTCACCCGTTTCTGTTTCACCGTTTTCTTACCATCCTTAAATTTGAACACCGCTATACATACGTACAAGGCAAGTTCATTTAATGTGGTGTTAAAGATAAACAGAATCAACTTTCTCAGCGGATTTCGACAGACGGAACGATGCCGTCAAGTGATATTCGCCGCAACGTTGGCGGAGAGCAACATTTCCTGGGGATCCAAAATGAAATTTAAAAATTAATGAAATGGTAACTCATAGTCAGAAATGAATTTTTGAGAAAAATTATCCTTTTTCAATATTCGAATCAAAAAATTTGCAAAACGAAGAAAAATTTAACATTTCAACAGGCAGGAGAAGTTTAAGCAATTTTACCTAAATTTACACCGCATTTACATAAAAGGTTGGAGCTTGTATTAGACCTGTTCCAGGTACTTCAGGAAAAGCAGTTTTCGCCATTTAAAAACCCTATGGAAGGTGGCGACCGGTAACAGATTCCTGTAAAAACCTGCAAGTCGCGAAGCACCTGAAACGCGACTATTGTGTTTTAATAAAAACAAAAATTTATGCACACACATATTAACATGTGTATGTAAGTAAGTACCCTGTCCGGAATTTCGTAGTCGACTACTAAAATAGCCAACTTTTGGCTAAATGCTGGGTTCTACCGAATAAATATGTGTGTGTAAAATTTGTTTCACAATTTTTACTTTCAACAAAAGAGCTTGTGTTCAAAAAGAAAAAAATAAACAATCACATATGTACATGTGTATGTATGTACTATGTTAATAGCCCATCTTTTGCGGTCTTTATGCATGCTTACTAAATAGTTACCAAGTGGCTAATAGTTAATCTAAAATAAGTATAAAAACCAAAAGTACCAAAAACAGTATATTAATTAACTCACTACAAGTCAATTTATTAATGACCAGTTTGTATTTAGGTGAAATCGAACTAACTTTTTTTGCGACAATTGTCATGTAAAAGTAGTCAGTGGAAAGTAACGAAAATTAATCGAGTCGTAGTCATCCCTAGTTTGAAAATAGTGAAATCATAGTGCATTTGTAGTTAGAACATAGAAATGCGCTCGTTTGGAATTATATTTTTGTTAAGAAGAACAAGTAAAGAAGTATAAGTTCGAGCGAAACCGAACTTCATATACCCGGCGCAGATATGAAATATCGTCGTTTCAACCAGAGTTGTGAAAAATGCATTAATTTTTTAATGCATTAATGGTATTTAAAGCAATAATGTTAATGTAAAAAATTAATGCATTAATTTATGAAATTTAATGCAAATGAATATTTCAATGAATTAATTCTGAAAAATGTAATGCTAATCAATTTTTTTTTCATTAATTTATCCAAGCTAATGCTAATGAAAAAATTTTAATGCACTAAAATGTTTAATACTTTTGCTAGTTTGCATTATTAAAAACCATTAAATTTTTTTACTAGTAAAATATAAATAACCTCTTTTGGAAGGACTTGGAATTAGAGCTCTAGATACCCGGGTATCGAGCAATGCGAGTAGCTCGATACTCGCTCGAAACTCGTTCATTGCTCAACTGCTCAAATGTTTGTTCAAAATTTTCGAGTTTTTGAACAATTTTATAAACAAAAGAAAATTTGTAAATTGTATTTGTCAGCAGATGCTTTCTAATTCATGTTAAATAAATTATATTATTAAATACCAATGTAACAATCTTTGCATTATATGTATATCAATAATTTGAAAAATTTAAAAAGTTGCTACCAAAAATGTTAATATAATAAAAAAAACATTGCTCAAATTACTCGAAAAAACTCGAATTACTCGAGCTCATGCTCGAAAATTTTCGAGTAATGAGTATTGAACAAGTGTGCGAGTACTCGCTGCTCATATACCCGGGCTGCTTGAAAATGTGCGAACAAAATCGAGAGCTCTACTTGGAATAATTACTAATAGTTTTTTTCAGCTTCATTACATTATGTGTATTTGTAGAAAAAATCTTCTGAAAATTGTTAGATGTTTTATGAAAATGAAAGCCAATGTGCATGCAACGCAGAGTGCTTTTGTAGATTTTTATGTTGATTGTTGATGCATACCGATTAGTTGATGCATAGTTTAGCAGCGCATGTACACGACTGAGGACATACTCTGATCTAAAACAATCAATAAACCGTTTTTTAGTTCCATTTGAGAATGTGATTTTACCTATTTAACGACAAATGCCATTGAACTTGACATAGTGGAAACTAGCCTTAACGCCCACCACTATCTTTTTTGACCTTACAATTCTACCCTCAACGTCAGCAAAGATTTTTTACTTCAAAATAATATTAGTTAATGGGTTTTTAATGCTTGTTATAATTTTAATGCAATAAATTATTGCAATAGCATTCATTTAAACATTTTAATGTTAAAAAAAAAAAACCATTAGCATTATTTCTTCCGAATTAATGCATTGAAATTTTCATTTAC